AAGAAGAAGAARAAAGATCATAAACCCTCAGTCAGTCTAAAGGAAGACATGACAGGAAAGAAAAATAAACAGAGGACCATTAGGACAAGGAAAAAGCTCAAGATAAAAAAGCATAAGGCTAAACTCACRTACGTCARTTACCTTAAATATTTGTAAATGGAATCAAGTACTCCAGATAAAATATAAAGATTGTCCATCTGGGMTAAACTACCTCAGCTTAATGCTATTTATAAGAGACATATCTAAAATATGTAAAGACTTATAAACTGAAAACTGTAAACATAAGGGAAAAGATATACCACATAAAACTATTCAAAAGAAAGCTGCATAGCTATATCACTATCAGACAAAATCAATTTTAGGCTAAGAGCATGTCTAATAAGTTAAGRCAGTTTTAAATTTATATGAGTGGACTAAATACAAATAAAATGTAAAGATTGTTAGAATGGAAATATAACAGTCCAACTATGTGTTGTTTATAAAAACAACTGGAATATAACACAAATTGAAAAGAAAATRCTGGAAAGAACATAACATGCAAGTTAACTGAAAGAAATCTGTGATGGCTATAGTAGACAAAGCCAACTTTAAGGCTAGAAGTATTAGTAGAAACTAAGAGGAATATTATTTAATGARCTTGTATGTACCTAATAAATTACTCTCAAAAATACGTAAAACAATTCTGATAGAACTAAAGGAGAAGTAAATATATTCAGAGTTGGAGTTTTCATTTTAACCACATGTTTTTTAGTACCTATAGAACAAATAGAAAAATAGAAATATGAAAGATTTTAACATGACTAGCAATTTAATTGACATGCATAGAACACTGTGCCTCAAAATTGTAAATGTACATGGGATATTTATCAAATTTGATCATATATTATGCCTCAAAGCAAGTTTCAAAATTTTAAAATATTGRAGTCATATTGAGAGTTCTCTGACTACAGTGGAATTCAGCTACATATTCAGAGAATCTGGGTAACTKTTCCTTTATCAAGGACTGGAAACTCCCTTCAAGGTAGTAAAGTGTAGGGCTTACCATGTTTCCTGTTTCTTTGTTGTTTGTTGCCTAAGCCAGTGTTTTGAATATTGATGTTTCATACATTTTGTTTGTTTCTCGGGTGGGAGGTCCCAGTTGTTCTATTTTGTCTATGTACAAATATTTTAAATCATTTTTCTTCAGTGTATTCCTGGGTGTATATTTTTTTAAAAAAATATTTTTTAGTTGTAAATGGATCTTTTATTTTATTTATTCATTTATATGCAGTGCTGATGATTGAACCCAYGGACTCACACATGCCAGGCTAGTGCTCTACCACTGAGCCACAACTCCAGCCCTGGATGTACATTTTAATCAGATTTCTTTTATTCATATAAACTTGTCTCCCTTTCTGTGTCTTTTCCCCATCTTTCCTACCTCATTTTAGGTGATTCCAGGTCATCAACTCTGAGGATTTTTCCTTTAGGAGTACCAATCATTTTTAATCAGTCCTCCTACATTCATCTCATGATTAACGTTAAGTATTTGAGAATAGAAAGGAAGTTTGATGAGTATGTTAGTGTTTTTAAAGGAGGTGAAATATGTTTTCTTATCTATTAGAGTTGATGAGTCCCAACTATATTCTCAATAGTAAGTTGAGTATTTTTTAATGTTATTTTTTATACCTTTATTTATTTTTATGTGGTGCTGAGGATCAAACCAGTGCCTTGYTAGGCAAGTGCTCTACCACTGAATTACAACCTCAGTCCCTAATAGGCTTGAGTTCTGAAGAGAAAGTACAATGTTGTTTCTGAACAGTTTATATTTTAGCAGAATATAAATAGAACAACAGCTAGATAGAACAACAGCTCATGAAATATCAAGAAAAATATTAAACTCTTTTATTTTAAAGTACACTAGACATTTAGAAATGAGAAAGAAAATTAGATCTGAGTAGTTAAGGAATGATTCTTCCAAAACATTGGGGCTAAACAGAGCTTTTGAAAATGTATACACTTAAAAATGAAAATAAGTTACAAGATGTAATRAAAAAAATGTAACTTATAATAACTAAGTAAATTACACAGGCATTAAGACTTTGTATGAGGATAACTATAAAAACTCCCAAAGGTACCAAGATAGACATGAGCAAATGTAAAGAGATAATTTTGTTCTGGGTAGGAAGGCAATATCCTTAGGATGTCAGTTTTTCTAAAATAATTTATTAGTTTGAAAGTATTATATTTTTCCTCTATAATAAATAATCCAGACATATTGCAAAGAAAGTGTAAAGCAGAAAGGGTGGCTAGCCTTTTAAGCCTTTAAAATTGAAATAATGTGATATTGGTACAACAATGGATAGACAAATTGAATAGAAAATACAGAGACCAACCCAAGTGCATATGGAAATTTAGTGTTATGGTAAAGGGAAGAAAATATGATATTTTTAAATATGTGGTGTTTATGATACATAAAAAAATAGAAATGCAAAAGATTTTAACCAATTGGGAAAATTGGAATAACCAATTGGGAAAATATAGGTTTGGATCCATTTTTCATATTGTATACCACAATGTCCATATAGAAAATAATAACATATTAAGTATTAGAATAAAACATAGGTAAATTACTTATGATCTATATATGGAGAAAAGTTTACTGTGACTCAATCCAGAAGCAAAAAAGAAAAACATAGGAGAGTATGCTGCATGTGTGTTTGTGTATGTGTTTCTATGTAACTTTGTATATGTTTATATAAACTTTTTGAGGACCAGCATGACACTACAAGTAGAAAATTCTACAAGTAAAAATATTATGAAGGTGTTTCATGCTCAGAATTACTTTCGGGTATATAAAGTGTATATATTAAATATAAATGAATTCCATATTTAGACTTGGTTTCCATTTCCAATATATTTCCAAATATTATATATTTACAAATATTCCAAAATCTAATAGTCAGACATACAAACCCCAAATCCTGAATTCCTAAATACTTACAGTACCAAGCATTTCAGATGAGGAATATTCAATCTGTATGTGTGTATATGTATACAACCAATGTACACACTGAATGCAAACTCAGTATGTTTGTGTATAAGTATGTAGTGTGGTTGTATACATACACACYTTTGCATAGCAGAAAACACAATAAAGTAAAAACTGAAAATTTTTTTGCCACTTATATGGTGGATAGTGAGTTAATCTCTGAAATATATAAAGAACTTCTAAAATGAGAAGAAAAAGACCAAAAACTTTATAAAGATGAGCAAGATATATATGAACTGAAAATTCATAGAAACAAATATAAACTAGCTTTATATGAAAAGATGCCCACATCACTTATAATAAGATAGATGCAAATTAAAACAATACAAAATGATCCCTTCCTTAACATAATGGCAAAAGTCCAGCATTCGGACAACATATTTTGTTGGTGACAGAAACAGGTGTTCTCATACATGGGGAATACAAAATGATTCAGTTTCACAGGGAAATGTAGCAATACAAGTAAAATTAGACATATATACTCTTTGACCTGGTGTATGTGTGTATATTTTATTTATATATATATATATATACACACACACACACACACACATGTATTTATGATCTTATATAGGTATATATTGAGAAATATGTGTGTACAGAGATACTGAGGCATTGTTTCTTTTTAAAAA